TAAAAGTATTGTACTCAGAGGACCAAAAACTCAGGGCGATTGAAAAAAAGCATTGGATTATAAGTTAGGGGGAAAAGGGTAATTTCTAATAGGTCCAAAATCTTAGGACGATCAAAAATTACTTTGGTGGGACCATGATTTACCATACGTGCATGCCATCTACAAAAACTAGGATCAGTTTTTGGCCAATGCAAGGGAATAGTTGACCTACCGCCGCTCATCCGATAGCTTCGGCATCATTGAATGATGGGCCAAGATAGAATTCATTGAGGTCAGCATTGGCTTGTACAAGAGAATGTGAATTTATATACGGTCTAGTAAGGAGGTTTTGGAAGTCCTCAAAACTGAAAGAATCATCAGATTGAGTCTATGAAGTTGCCATTGGATGCAGAAACAGACGTTGTGAAGGGTTCTTAAGAAGCGTAATGAGGAAGCAAGACAATGAACAGTGACCTTTATAGAACACACGATATAAAGACGTGAAGGTAATGGCGCGAGGAAGTGACATGTCTTTTGGGTTTATGGGGATTTGTAACGTTGCACCTTTTCAAATTATAGAAGGTTTTCAACCAAACGGAAATTCTTAGGAATTTCAAATATTACCGAAAAATGCAAAGAAAGAATATGACAAAAATTAATAATTTGTATTAATTCTGCCATATTGGAGGGTAATTATTGACATATAAAAAGTGTAGCCCAAACCAAGGGATGAAACCCAGTTAGGAAGTCAGGATGTACCCAAATAGGACCATTAATGAATGCAGTAGAGGCCCACGAACAAGGTACCATCATCGTCTAAGCTTGCAAGACGCCCAAGATCTGAGCGAGTGGAGTACCTTAAAATCGCCCAGAGCTAATGAGCCTATTCTCGCCCAAACCTTCGAATTGCCCAAGATCTTAGCAAATTGTTTCCATTACTCTCGTCATTCAATTACCTACAACTGTGATTCTTGGATCGTGGAGTGTGATAATGTTGCTCAATAACCATTTCAATAACTGCTGCTTTGTATAACCATAATACCTCATGTTTGCTAAGATCTTGGACGATTCGAAGTTTTGGGAGAGAATAGGCTCATTCGCTCTTGACGATTTTAAGACACTCCACTCGCTCAGATCTTGG